GGGAGAAGAGGACAACTAATTCACAAGAACCACAAACTTCGGTTTTATACAAAAAAAAAACACCATTTGTTATTTTTAGCTAAATTATAAAACACCGTTTATTAGTTAAATTAACTAATTAGCTTCTTTTGAAAACCCAATAATGAGTTTTTGTTAATTCTTTTAATTATAGCCTCTAGTTTTCCAATTGTGTCTTCTTTCGTCTCCCTATTTTTCCTCTCTTTATTTCTTCTACTAAATTTAGAAATAAACAAGACTAATATGTTCTCTATGTTTGAAATTAAACAATAATTTGACATTAAGCTAATGAACTTTTGTTTTGATTTATAACTAAACAACTCATTAGGATCTTATTATGAATCATTAACTCTTCTCCCTTCATCGAGTTTCCATATTCGTATTTGGGTTCGGGTTTGGCTCGGATTTACACTCGTCTATTCGGCTTTTGTTAAGCTGGAAAGCCGGATTAACCCACGCGCCGCAGCTACATTGCATCCCTGCCCAGTTGAAATAACCTAACCGGGCGTTACATCCCAAACAAAGAAGCTTCTCTTCCACAGATCCATCATGAACTGCAAAAATCAAAACCTGTGTTAAGATCATCAGAGGAATAACCGCAAAGATTCGTGTCGAGATACAGAGTAAGAATCTCACTTGTTTGCATCCATTTCATAGGCTCGACAAAGATGGAAGAGCATTGCACTTGTTCAGAGTTTCCGCTTCTCTTTTTCCAAGCAAAGCATTGTTCTCCTTTCCCCGGTTCATGCGGGACTATGTTTTCCTCTATCGCAACTATCCTTCTGCATTTCTTACATCGGTATATGAGCTGAGGCTTCGGCAGAGACTCCTTCGAAGAAGAATTATCGGTCTCCACCTCCATTTGCAATTCAGTCATAGCTTCTCTTCAAAAGTCAAAGAAAGAGAAATCTCAGACTAAAAGAAGTTACAATCTGGTTACACAAATAGTTCATAAAGATCAGATATATGATTACTAAAAACCTTCATTTTCTTGTTGAATCGAGCCAAGTTTTGATTACGAAACAACCAAAATTGAAAAATCACAGAGCAATAATCTACAAGCAAAAAGATCATATGAGTGTTCTTAGTTTCAGAATTGTCAAATCCCTAATACTTCAGGATCAACATAAAGGGTCCATAGAGAAGATCTCAATTTCACAATGAATGTCTTAAGAATAATATAAACGAAACTAAATATCTTAAATTTCTTGTCAAATCCACTACAAGTTTTGATTTCGAAGCAACCCACAAGTCCAAAATTGCAAAAATCACAGAGCAATGAACTATCTTCAAAACAAAATGATCCTATGTGATGTTCTTGATTTCATAATTCTCAAATCCCTAATAAAGTTGTCAACTTTCCAACAACAATTTGATTTCTTCTCATACATCATCACTAACTTAAACCCTACACTGATTACCGACGAAATTTCAAAGCAAATCCGAAACAACCAAAAGAAATCGCTCACATGAAACTCCATTTCACGACTAAAGATTCACCCAAAACAGTACCCAAATACAGCTCAAACCACAAGAACCCTAGTCTGGAAATCTATAAACCTCCACGAAAAAAATGAGGAATCAGACAATAAAAACACAAAAGGAATCACCTTTGCATAGGCTGGTGTGGTGTGTGTGTGGGGCGCTACTTACTGATCGCTTCTTCGTCAAAAAACCTGTTCGGTCTAGATTTTAGGTTTTGTCCAATGATTGATTATTCCATTGTGGCTAAATTTCTCAATAACAATAGCCGGTTTAACCGAACCGGACTGGTTCACAAACGATGTCGTTTACCACTTGGGCTGGGCCTGTGGGCTTAAAATAGTTGTGTGTGTGTGTCTAATTTGATGCTTTAATTTAGAATTTTTCTTCTTCTTGAAATTTTTAATATAACTAAGTACTACAAAAAAACATTGGATTATAATGTTACAATCGAGTGCCGAAATGTGATGGAAACAGGAATCATATGGTTCATAGTCAGATTAACTAGCAGAGTTTCGATACACAAACCGAGGACCATAAGAACAATAGTTCAAGCTTTGAAACTAACATGAAGCAGAAGAGCTTCAACACTTAAGATCAAACCCGAGATTTGTCAAAGCAAAAATGCTAGAAAATAGCTTCGACGTTCATCGCCAGTACCTAGAGAATTTAAATGAATAAGTGTTTAAACTCACTATTTGAGAGCTTACATAGTTCATTGTAGTTTTGTGCATCTGCAAAACCAAGCAAGATCGAAAATCAAAACACAGCAAGAAGAAACTCAAATCAAAGATTTTCCAAATCATATAGGAAACCAAAACTAAACGATTTTTTTTTTAGTGGCATACCGAAATTGTCTCCAAAGTTGGTCCAAACTTCAGCTCGAATGGTGTTATCCGTCTCGGCGATTCCAATTACCTCGAGGTAAGTAGTTAAAGGCGATGGCGGCGAACCCTTAACAACAATCTGTTGATCATCAGTTGATTTCCCGATCACAGATCCGATATCTGACCGGATAACTTGAACCACTGCTCTCACTTTCTGACCAATGTACCTTCTCAACAAAGCTCCATTCACAAAAGCAGCAGGACTTGAAGTATCCATTTCTATATAAAAAAAAAAAAGTATAACTCAAATTTTGTTTAGCGTTACTCATTAAAATTCAAATGAATTTTATAGAACTTGAATTTCTACAAATCAAAGACCGTTTAGTGTTTCTTCAGATAATTCCTATTGAACATTGGAGATACAAAACCAAACTAATCATATTATCTGCAAGTCAAAATCAAATTTGGTAAACTTGAAACCCTAATTTCATAAAGTAGAACATATCAATTCCTGAAATCTAGCAAACGAAATGAAGCAGAAAGGTTTCGACTTTTTCGACCTAAATCAGAGGAAATTTGATACACAAGGAAAATCAGAAAACCCAATAAGAAAAAATAACCAAATCCTTATGATTCAACAGTACCCGGAAGACGAATCGGTGAGAATTTCCGGCGAGGTTACGGTGGCAGGAAGAAAAACCCTAATTTACGAAGAGAAGAAGAAAGTGATGATGATGATAAAAGGAACCGGTTTATGGTTCGGTTATCTATTGGAGTGAAGCTAAAGCTAAATCCAAATTGAATTTGGTTTAGTCAATGACACGTCAGTAATTATAATACATTAAATTTAATAATAAAGTCATTGGTAAAACCCTATTTAAGGAAAAAAACCTTATTAATTCAATTGCTACGAAAGATTTTATCAGAATCAAAACGCTGATCCGCACTTATCTCTTGTTCTTCCCTGACTGAATTTCTCGATTTCGTCGAAGAAGAATCGTTTTTCGATCTTAACCTTAAATCTTCCAAGGTAAATCGTCTGATTATCTCCCTTTTTTGGTTCGTATTTTCTTTGAAATTTTAGGTTTCTGGGACTGACTATTCGATGATTTCGAGGTATGAATTAGGGGAATTAGGGTTTATATTGCTTGCTTGCGGAGAAGGTTTCGATCATAATTTATTCTTTTACGAAGGTTTTCGGCGATTGGGTACTCAAAGATGATAACTTTTCGTCTAATAATTTGATGATTTTTTTTAGGGTTCTTCTTATTCTGGAATTTGCATAAAAATCCCAACTTTTTGTTAGATTTGTGCTTATCTATCTGGTTCTAATAAAGTTTTTACCTTGATTCTTGCTTCAGGACATGGCAAAAGTGGAATCAATGTTTGCTGGTTCTGTCAACTCAATGGAATCTCGTAAGAGGAAAGGTAAAGTAATGAGCTCAATTGTCACGGTTTGT